TGGATCGACGCTGCTTGCGGTCGGTGTAGAATGCCTCCAAGTATCGACTGGCACGACGCTTGGTAATGCTCACCGGAAAGGCATGAGTGGAGTCCCAATAAGCCCGAAGGTGCTCATCTTCATAAATCGCGTAGATTCGCATCATGTGTCCGACCTCAGAACGTGAGGGGATCGACTCTAGGAGCGAGGACCTCCCATGGAGCAGACTCGATCAAGTCGCGTATGTTGCTCTCGTCCATTAGATCGTCTCGCCACTCTTCAAGCTGAGGCGTGGGATCGCGGAGAGGAAATAACCTTTCCATTGGTTTGGCAAAACGGTGGAAGAGTAGATCCACGTCCATCTCCACGATGCTCGTTTGGCGAATGTCCTGCGCAGACCAGGGGACGACATCATGGCCGTGGAAGACGCATCGATCACGATAACCGGGGATCCACTCCGTTCGAGGAACTCGGGTAGACGGCAGGTCAGCTAGCTCAGCGTTGGACGCTGAAGAGTCGCTGCCGCTTTCTGCGGTATCCGAGTCGAGACCGCGGGTAGAGCTGGATCTGTTGGAAAGACTGTCGTCGCCGTCAGAAGACGCACCAGACTCAGACTCCGCAGGAGGCGACAGAGCGCCCCTGCTGCTACCTCTGGCGGGCAGCTTGGACGATCGGATGGATCGAGCAGGCCGATCGGGAGGGCCAGCGGAGGAATCGAAAGCGACGCTGGCTCGTTTGGATCGAGGAGGTGTCATTGGAGATGCAACATCATGGGCAGCCGATGAAGGAGATGCCCCAGCACTCTGGCTAGCAGCTACGGTAGACAGCACCTCGATCGAGGATCCAGGTACCGGACCCTGAGTCGAAGCACTAGCGGGGAAAGAACCTAAGGTCGATCGGGCGGTCTTGGAGGAGCGCGTGGACCGGGCCGGAGAACTGGACTCGGTACGGGCACGCTTACGACTCGGATCCGAAGGAAGTAGAGCCGCGATGTTCGACAGCCTCTTTTGTGCTTGATCCCGTTCGGCTCGAAGACCAGTGATCTCCCCGAGACGCTCGCCAAGCTCGCTGAGTAATTCATCCTTTTGAACCACCAAGCGGTCTCTCTCCTGTCGAAGGGTAGCGAGCGCGGTCTCTAGGTCTTGGCGCGACATCTGGGATCGCTCGACCTGATTAATCCGCCTCTCCAGACGGGCGACGGTATCCCGAGCCGCTGAAACACGATCCTCTGTGGGCCAGGGAACGAGTTAGAATGAATCCGCCAGGGGCATTTGGACGGTACTCACGGGTGGCGCTGCGCTCTGCTCTGGCTTGGCCACACTGAGAGATCGCCGCGCGAACGCGCTGGGAAACTTGCTGGAGTTCTTGGTCCAGAGTCGAGACCCGGCCCTGTAAGCGAGCGATCTCGACAGAGTGGGCAGCGATTGTGTTGTCGGCCACCTTCAAGCGACGCCCGTAGCTTTCGCGCAAAGCACGGAAGCGGCGGGTCTTGCGTTCAATCGCGGCTTCGAGGCGATCTACCTCCGCCTGAGCAGCCTTTGGAGAAGTGGCCGATTCACGGAGTTCCGAGGTTAGAGAGGCCCGGCGATCACGTTCTACTTGCAAGTCGGAATGGGACCGCGCGAGTTGGGACTCCAGATCGGCTATGCGACGGGCTGTATCGTGTGGAACAATCACCCCGAAGGAAGATGCAGCGATCAACTGCGCCTCCAAAGTAGAGATGCGGCCCTGAAACTGAGAAACCGCTTCGTCGTAGCGGAGCTCCAGATCGCGATATCGAAGACGGCACGCCTCAAGCTCGGGGGGAGTTATCCAAACGCTCCTATAGCGCGTTCAGACAGTCGGCAAGCTTCTTTCGAGTGAAGACCTGCCGGTGACGAACCACATCGTACTTGTGCTGACAGAAGAGCACGTACGGCGAAGCAGCATTGGCCGCGTCAGCTAGCTGCCGATCCAAGTCTTTCGCGCGACGTCGTGTGGCCAGACACTTGCGGCACAGAACCTCGTTATCCTGGTGGAGCTCATGTAGTGCCTCGGTCTGGTTAATAGCATGCTGCAAAGCGTTCGACGAGGCGCGCACATCGGCGAAATCCAGCGAGGGATGGTCGACACTGTGGCGGGACCGCCGCGCTCCGTAGACTGGAAAGAGGAGCGAGGAGAAGACGTGAGGTCGACGAAGGAGCTGCCGCCTACGGGAAACGTGAATTAGCGGGGAGAAGAGTAGGGTCAACCGCGTCTGGAAGCAGACGCACCGGAATGCATGACGACGAGGACGCGGGGAACACAGGAGTGGGCAACGTCGCAAGCGGAGAAGCTGTCGTGAGAAGCGTGGATCGGTGAGTGAAGCCCGACGGTTGGTGCTGTGGACTCTCACTCAGGGGACGATTGTGGTGAAGTGACAGTTGACTTCTGGCAGCAAGGGACTGACTGATGGGATTT